AGAGGCAGAAAAGAAAGATAATCAGATAGATATGATGAAGAGAGAGAGAGAGAGAGAAGAGAGAGAGAGAAGAGAGAGAGAGAGGAGAGAGAGAGAGAGAGAAGAGAGAGAGAGAGTGATAGAGAGAGAGAAGTGATAAGAGGCAAAAAGAGAGCGCGCGAGAGAAAGAGAGTGTGTGATAGATAGATAGATAGATAGAGAGATGAGAGAGAGAGAGAAGAAAAGAGAGAGAGAGGAAGACAGAGAGATATAAGAGAGAGAGAGGAGAGAGAAAGAGAGAAAGAGGGAGAAGAGAGCGAGGGAGAGAGAGAGGAAGAGAAAGACGCAAAGAGAAGAGAAAGACGCAAGGGGAGAAGAGAGCAAAGCAGGAGAGATGAGAGAGCCAACGGAGAAAGCGGCGATCGAGAGGGAGAGAGTGTGTGAAATAGAGAGTAATAACAGAGAGAGAGAGAGAAAGAGAGAGAGAGAGAGAGAGAGAGGAGAGAGAGAGAGAGAGAGCGAGCACCGAAGATATATATATAGAAGACGAGGAAGAGGAGAAAGAGGAAGAGAGCGAAAGAGAGAAAGAAAGAAAAAAAGAAAGCGAAGAGGAGGAAAAGAGAGACGAACGGAGAAGAGGAGAGAGAGAGAGAGAGAGAGAGAGAGAGGGAGAGATGACTGCGCCGGAGGAGAGAGAGAGAGAGAGAGAGAGAGAAAAGAAGAGAGACTAACTGAGAAACATACACGGATGCGAGACGGGATGATCGGGTGAACGCTAGAAGTAAGAAAGAGATACAATACAGCTCCAGAGAGGGACGATTAGCGCGCAGAAAGTTCGTACACCGGAAGTCAATAATACGGCGACTGTCCTGCGATTTCTACTGAAGTGCGCTATGCATGTATAAACTTGCTGCTTCAGTTGCTGTAAGCTAGTCTTGTGGCAAAGTAGCCGAGCAGCAAAATCGGACGACGAGTAGAGAATTCTAAAGGCAGAAGCTGATCAAAACCAATGTTGAAAGATCTATACCTTGACTAGCGACAAAGCAAAGGTGTCATACAGGACAGAGAGAGAGAAGAAGAAAAGGGGAAGCGGAGAGATAAGAAGAGAGAGAGAGAGAGAGAGAGAGAAAAGAAGAGAGAGAGAGAGGGAGAGAGGGAGAGAGAGAGAGAGAGGGAGAAGAGGAGAGAGAGAGAGAGAGAGAGAGAGAGAGAGAGATAGGGAGAGAGGGGAGAGAGTGAGAGAGAGCAGAGAGAGAGAGAGAGAGAGAGGGAGAGGGAGAAAGTGAGAACCGAGAGAAGAAGAGAGAGGAGGGAGAGAAAAGAAGAGACAAAAGAGAGAAGAGAGAGAGAGAGCGGAGAGAGGGAGAGAGGAGAGAGAAGAGAGAGAGAGAGGAATAGAGAGAGAGAGAGAGAAGAGAGAGAGAGAGAAAGAGAGAGAAGAGAACAAGAGAGAGGGATATGAGAGACAGAGACCCAGGGTGAGGAAGAAGAGAAACCAAAGACAGAGACAAGACAAAAGACAGAGACAGACAGAGACAGAGACAGAACAGAGACAGAACAGAGAACATGAGACCACAGAGACGAGAGACAGCGACAGAGACAGAGACACGAGACAGAGACACAAGGACAGAGACAGAGACAGAGACAGGAGAACAGAGACCAGAGACAGAAACAGAGACGAAGACTAGAAGACAGAAGAGACAGAGACAGAGACGTCAGAGACCAGAGAGCTCAGAGACAGCAGACAGAGACAAAGACAGACACAGAGCACAGAGCACAGGACAAGACAGAGAATGAGATTGAGAACAACCAGATAGTATAGAGGTAGAACCGGAAGAGAGGAAGAATCCCGCAGACGAAAGTTGGAGCAGTTGACAATAGAATCGTGCCGTGAAACTTCAGTTCTGCTTCACATGAACCGCACCAGGGAAACTTACTTGGCTGCCTATACTGCAAGGCGCCGAAAAATCATAAAATAAAAGTCGCATAGTTTTGAAAACGCATTGAAGGCTACAGAATTATGCATTGCCTGAGTAGAGCCCAGCTACACAATAGGGCGTAATTATCTCAAAGCTCGATACTAACGGTTAGTTAAACTATCTTAACATTAGTCCATATACATGTTTAACGTAAGTACACCATTACAGCAATACGTCCATCGCATCGAAGAAAATTTAGAAATGAGTGAAGCGCAGTTGGCGTTTGTGGTTCGTTCGCATGGTCAACATATTTTGTTGGTTACCACAAAATGGCGTCGCTGTGTTTCTATTGTTGACCGCATAACCCCGCAACCCGCGCGATCATGAATAACACAAACAACGCTCTATAAAATACGTATACGTTATACTTACAATATGTTTCTGCTTCCGGCGACAGGCACTATCCAAAAATCGATGACGTGTGAGATTAACATGATACTGGATCTTCGTGTTGCGCTACAAAGACAATGTGGTAAGGCTGAAAGGGTCGTTGTCGTATTAAGTACTACATATAATGTACCCGCAGTACATAATGTATATCACACCAGTACCAGACGAACCTACCGAATGTACACTAACCCAAACCGCTAACCCTAACCTTAACTCTAACACAACCCGAAACATACCTCAAAAAAATATAAACCATAAACAAACAACCTAAACAGACCTCGTACAATATATGGTAGTACCTGATATCTACAACGACCCTTTCAACTGTAGTCTAGGGAGACGTGGAGGACGCTCTCATAGATCTAATTCCCACACATCCAAACCAAATCAACGTCGCCCTGATATGCCGAATAAGTGCAATGTAATAGATCACATCCTGTCGCCTACTTTATGGTTATACACTGGCGCACGATATCCAACGCCGTCATACATGCATGGCGTCTAAAACCGATCGACTTTAATAGACACAGCACTTGCCAGCCGCGAAATGCGACCGTACGCAGCGGAAAAATGACGCGGTGCAAAGTCTCTAAATCAATAAAGATAATATCAAAATTCGAAAATGAAACTGACTCGAGCGTGCAGAAGATAATGTTCGATTGCAACTGGACAGTTTCCGCCGCTGTATTACTGATAGTGTGTGCAAGGCTGCTAAACACGGGCCTAACGGCGAATTACGCAACATCCACCTTTCAACAAATTCAAACCCTTCCAACCCGAGTGGAACCTACGATCATGTATAATTACACGATAGAAATATTCAGAAGTCATGCTAGAATCATTTACAATTTAAAAAAATTAAATTGCACCCCGCAAAAGTTCAAGACCGAGTGAACCTATAGTCATGTTAAATCACTTAGAAAAGAGATAAAGAACGTGATAGACTTCATGTTTGAATAAATGTTATAATTTAGTAACTTATGTAGAAATCAAATAGAAATCACATAGGATAGATATAGAAAGCATGTCAGAAAGTCATGACATAAATCAGCTATAGATTAGAAGAAAAAGTCGACCGAGATTCCTTTGCTTTCGAACATGCTTAGTTACGAAAAACAGCTTCCCGTCCTTCCGCTGTACTTTCATATCTTTAGTATCACAGTCGCTCGTCAGCAATCCACCAAGCGAAATCGTCAAGCTGGTAACTGATGCAAAAGGTCGAATAGGTTCCGATCGGTAAGTAAACTCGAATCCAGACTTCCAGATTGACACAAGAAGAACCAGATGTACGGAGGACAGGGCTGCCCACATACAACACAGCGCGCGTACCGAAAACGAATTTGAATACGACGTCGTTTTTCCCGGAGCTCACGGCCTTCAACCCCGCTCTAGCGCCGAAGAGCTTAACGAAGCGCTCGGGAGGCAGGTCCAATTAGGTTGTGAAAGTTAAGGTTGAGTATAGCTAGCCTAGCTCTAACGCTATAGTAACTGACGCTAACAGCTCTCTACCGCAAGGTCGGCTGCGGCATGTAATCCAGTCACCGCCCGCGAAAACCGAGAAAAGTGAAAAAAACTCAAAAAAACGTGTGAAAACGGCGCGTTATTCTGTCGACGGAGCGCATTGTGAGCCGCGCGTCGTCGCCGTCGACGTCGGACAAAAATGTTTTCATAAAACAGGTGAAAACGTGAAACCGGCGCGTTTTTGTCGCCGTCGCCGCGTCGTCGTCGACAGCGACGTCGCTCGCGCCAGATAGGTTTTCCAGAACTGTACGTCAAACACTTCTGCCGACATCTACGAAAGATGAACAACGAAGAGAGAAAGCATTACCTCCCAAACAGCATGACCGCCTCGCTTGTGGCTCACTTAATATTTGCGAATAAGTCAGAAGATGCGACTCAGTAAATAGCGCAAATGCGACGCGCGTCTGCGTATGTTTGACAAACGGCTACTATATATATAACACTTACTGGGTTCCAAAGCAGTTCACGCTAGAACGACATTTTTCATAAAAAATCGACGTTGTTTTGGCAAGTCCTGCCCTTTGTGATGATAACCCAACAACACCAGTGAATGCTCGTCCAAGGATCGAGGCGAGCCCCGGAGGGGAAAAAATCTAGTACTCATGAGATTTTTCAAATCAATCACATTACTACTGTACGATGTCTCGGAATGCGTGCGCTCTAAAAACCTTACAGCTCACCCAAAGAAATACAAAGACAGGCCGACACGATAACACGCCAAGCATGCACTGCGGTGTAAATTTGCACTGTGATTGTCTGAAAAATAATGCTATACAAATTTATCCAATTGCTATGCAAAATTTATTTTGTATAGCACATTTGCTATGCAAATTTTTGGCTGGAAATTGTTCCCTGGTATTCCACAATCGAATCTCCCAGGCCAGCAGGGGGCGCTACACCTACCTCGATCCACGCACGCAGACCATTGACGTTCCACGAGGCGACCTTGAAGTTCCAGCGTCGCCCGTCCTCGCACGTCGCCTCCGATGAGAAGTCGTCGGTGGCGCCCCCTGCTGGAGCAGTCTTGGCGCCGTTAGCGGCTGCGTTCTCGTCTGCGGAGACAGGAATGGTTGCCATGACAACAGATGACTTGTTGACGTGACAACGGACAATGTGTTGACACATTTCACCGTGAACAGCCTTTTGTTATTGTGATTGTATTCATTCATTCATTCTCGATCTCTCTCTCTCTATCTCTTTGTCTACCCCCTCTCCCCACTTTCTTTCTCTCTTTCACTCTCTATCTCACACTCTCACCCTTTCCCGGCCGCTCCTTCTCCTTCAGGCTCCTCCTCCACCTTACCGGGTTTCTTTGCTTTCTTCGTCGTGGGTTCCTCGTCCGCGACCTTGACCTTCCCGGCTCTCCCTCTCTTCTTCGGCTCCTCCATGACAGACACAGACGATGGTCGGTGCCCCCTGGTGGTGATAACAAAGGGCGAACGACGGGCGTACGGCAGACCAAGCTCGGCTACCGTTTTGAAATAAAATGCATGTTAGTTTTGGCGCCCCCTGGCGGTGGTGCGAACGGACGATACCCGGTTTCTAGCGTGTGGTTTGTGACGTGCCGATTACTTGAATGATCTGTGGACATAAAATTTTTGGCGCCCCCTAGTGGAGAACTTTAGAAACATGTCCTATCTTCAATCTGCAGTGTGATCTCTCAATCTCATCAATGTTAGACTCTCTCTGTTCGTTACAGTCCCCCCCACGGACCACGCAGAAGATTCCGTATGATGTAACAGTAACGGTTAGGGATAGTACTTGTTTCAGTAACACGTTGTGCATAGCATTGCTACGCTTGTCTCACGACCTTCGCGACCCCACCGCGTTCCAGGTCAGATCGCCGAACCTTGGCGTTTGTTTTGAACATGCTCAAAACAAACGCCGTGACTCGGCGATCATTGGCGACCATGGCGACCACACCACGATGTCTGGCGTTTCCACCACGCTTATACAACGCTTATGGCAACCTTGGCGCGCTCTGGGCCCATTTTCCGTCGCCGTAGCAGCGCAGTAAGGACGCCACCACGGTGTGACGGGGGTATTAGGGATACGGATTTCATGAGGAAACCTGAAGGAAATCCCTACGGATTACTTAAAAATAACTAACTTGCCGTTACATTGCTCCTTCCTCTGCAATTGTCAGCAACTTCTAAGTCAATCTTGTCTTAAAATCATTAAATGTACACAGAGCAGACACAGAGTCTGTGGTGGCAGAGCCATTATACAGCATTTCAATCAACTATCTGACAAATCTGTACAATAAAATGCTGAGCTCCCAACGCTAAAATAGCAATGTTTAATTTTAAGGTATTTTATTCAGGAAGGTTTGTCCTGCATGCAATTTTTCCTTTCATAGTAAAATTTAGCCTACCCTGTACGGATTACTTAGATTTTGAGCGGATTTGCTCATTTGTGAAGGAACAAATCCGTACGGATTAGTTTTCAAACTGGGGAAATTCGAGCCCTGCTTAACTGCTTGTGTTTTAGATATTTATATTGTTCTATTGTGTTTATATATATATATATATGTGTCAGATAACATGTTAAAAAAAATATTGCTTGATAGTTGATAGAGAGAGGCTCTGTGTTCATGTACATGTGCAATTCAGCTAGTACCCTCCCCTCCTCCTCCTCCTCCTCCCTCCTCCTCCCTCCTCCTTGCCCTCCACCTCTCTCACCTATGCCATGTTTGATGGAGCGAGGTGCAGTCTTTGTGTACATCCCTACACCTGAGTAACTGGTCAGGTCTCCCCCTCCTCCTCCAACCCCCCTCCTCCTTTCTCACCTATTCCGTGTTTGATGGAGAGAGGCGCAGTCTTCGTGTACCTCCCTACACCTCAGTAGCCGGCCGTGTCTCCCTCCAGCCCTCCTCCTCCTCCTCCTCCCTCCAGCCCTCCTCCTCCCTCCTCCTCTCTCACCTATGCCGTGTTTGATGGAGAGAGGTGCAGTCTTCGTGTACATCCCTACACCTGAGTAACTGGTCGTGTCTCCCTCCAGCCCTCCTCCTAGAGACAGAGACAGAGACAGAGACAGAGACAGAGACAGAGACAGAGACAGAGACAGAGACAGAGACAGAGACAGAAACAGAGACAGAGACAGAGACAGAAACAGAGACAGAGACAGAGACAGAGACAGAGACAGAGACAGAGACAGAGACAGAAACAGAGACAGAGACAGAGACAGAGACAGAGACAGAGACAGAGACAGAGACAAAGACAGACACAGAGACAGAGACAGAGACAGAGACAGAGATTGAGATTGAGACACAATGATAGTATAAGGTAGAAGGGAAGAGAGGAAGAGATCCGCAGACGAAATGTTGGAGCAGTTGACAATAGAATTCGTCCGTGAAACTTCAGTTCTGCTCTCACATGAACCGGCACCAGGGGAAACTCACTTGTGCTTGCCTCATTACTGCATAGGCGCCGAAAAATCATTAATAATAAAATGTACATTAGTTTTGAAAACCATTGAAGTGCTAATTCAGAATTATGCATTGCATGAGTAGACCCAGCTACACAATAGGGTCGTTAATTATGCTTCAAATCTTCGATACTAACGTGTTAGTACTATCTTAACATAGTATATACATGTGTTACGGTATAGTACACCATTACAGAATACGTCCATCGCATGCGAAGAAAATTTAGAAATGTTGAGTGAGCGCAGTTGGCGTTTTGTGTGTTGTGTCGTCATGGTCAACATATTTTTGTTGGTTACCACAAAATGGCGTCGCTGTGTTTCTATGTGTTGACCGCATAACCCCGCACCGCGCGATCATGAATAAACAAACAACGCTCTTATAAAATATATACGTTATACTTACAATATGTTTCTTGCTTCCGGCGACAGGCACTTATCCAAAATCGATGACGTGTGAGGATTAACAATTGATATTCTGGATCTTTTCGTGTTGCGCGTACAAAGACATTGTGGTAAGGCTGAAAGGGTCGTTGTCGTATTAAGTACTACATATATGTACCCGAGGTACATATATGTATACACAAAGTGTACCAGACTTGTACTACAGAAGTGTACCCTAACCCTAACCCTAACCCTAACCTTAACTCTAACCCTAACCCTAAACATACCTCATATAAAAATATAAACATAATACTAAACAACCTAAAACTACCTCGGGTACATATATGTAGTACCTGATACGACAACGACCCTTTCAACTGTAGTAAGGGAGACGTGGAGTGACGCGGTCTCATAGATCTAATCCACACTGATCAAACAAATCAACGTCGCCTGATTATGCGAATAAGTGCAATTGTAATAGTCACATCCTGTCGCGTACTTTATTGTTTATACACTGGCTGCACGATATGCAACGCCGTCATACATGCATGGCGTCTAAAACCGATCGACTTTTAATAGACACGCACTTTGCCAGCCGGCGGAAATGGCGACCGTACCGCAGCGGAAAATGACGCGGTGCAAAGGTCTCTAATAATAGAAGATTAATAGCAAAATTTTCGAAATGAAACTTTGATCGAGCGTTGTCAGAAGATTAATGTTCGTATTTCAACTGGACTAGTTTCCGCCGCTGTATTACTGATGGTGTGTGGCATAGGCTGCTTCACACGGGGCTACGCGAAATTACGCAACATCCAACCTTTTCAACAAATTCAAACCTTCCAACCGAGTGGAACCTTATCGATCATGTTATAATTCACGATAGAAATTATGTCAGAAGTCATGCTAGAATTCATTTTACAATTTAAATAAATATAAATTGCAACATTCAAACGTTCAAACCGAGTGTAACCTTATAGGTCATGTTATAATTCACGTTAGGAATGAGATTATAGAACGTGATAGACGTCATGTTTGAAGTATAATGTTATGATGTTAGTAATTATGTTAGAAATCAAATTAGAAATCACATTAGGAATTATATATTAGAAAGCATGTCAGAAGTCATGCTATAAATCATGCTATAGATTAGAAGAAAAAGTCGACCGGAGATTTCTTTTCTTTTCGAACATTCTTTAGTTTACGAAAAAACAGCTTCCCGTGTCTTCCTCTGTACTTTCAATATCTGTTAGTATCTACAGTCGCTCTCGCATCCACTCAAGCGAAATCGTCAAGCTGGTATTACTGATGCAAAAGTGTTCGAATAGGTTCCGATCGGTAAGTAAAATTCGAATCAGACTTCCAGAGTTTGACACAGAGAAACAGATGTACGGAGGACAGGGGGCTGACACATGTACAACACACGCGCTGTATCCGAATTCGAATTTGAATACGATCGTGTTTTTTCCCGGATGCTCATCGGCCTTCACTCCCTCTAGCGGCCGAATGAGGCTTTAACGAAAGCGCTCGAGGCAGTGTCAATTAGGTTGATGAAAGTTAAGGTTGAGTATAGCTAGCCTAGCTCTTAGCTATAGTACTATAGCTAACTAGCTCTCTACTCGGCAAGTGTCGTGCTGCGGCTGTAATTCCATCACGCCCGCGAAAATCCGAGAAAAGTGTAAAAAAAATCTTTCAAAAAACGTGTGAAAACGGCGCGTTTTCTGTCGACGCCGCCGTCGTCGCCGTCGACGTTTCGGACAAAAATGTTTAAAAAACGTGTGAAAACGTGAAACCGGCGCGTTTTTTGTCGCCGTCGTCGTCGTCGTCGTCGACAGCGACGTCGCTCCGCCAAATTAGGTTTTCAGAACTGTACGTCAAACCTTCTGCCGACATCTTACGAAGATGACAACGAGAGAGAGAAAGCATTACCTCCTCAAACAGCATGACCGTCTCGCTGTGTGCTCACTTAATTTATTTTTGCGAATAAGGTCAGAAGATGCGAAGCTCTAGGTAAATATCGGCAAATTGCGACGGCGTCTGCGTATGTTTGGACAACGGCTACTATATATATAGACACTTTCACTGTGGTTTCCTAAAGCATGTTCACTGCTAGACGACAGTTTTTTCATAAATAATCTGACGTTGTTTTGGCAAGCCTGCCCTTGTGATGATAACCCAACAACCCATGTGAATGCTCGGTCAAGGATCGAGGTCGGAGCCCCGGAGGGGAAAAAATATCTAGTACTCTATGGAGATTTTTTCAAATCAATCACATTTACTACTGTACGATGCTCGGGGAATGCTGGTGCGCTCTAAAAACTCTTCAGTCTCACGCAAAGAAATGAGCAAAGAAATAAGTTTGGATTCACATGCGATAGCTGTGTTTCTTGTTGAAACTGTTTTTCGGTCCATCTAATTTTGATATGACGTTTTCTACGCAAGAATAAATTGGAATTTACTAACAATTAATCATGGGAATTGCTAAAGATTCTCTGCTAACAGTTTTTGACGTTTAATTTCTTGCGCTATCAAAAAAGTCACTCCTACGAAATTAAATTGCTAGATTTAATGAAATGGGTCGTAGTGCCGTAATATTATTAGTTTTCGTTGGT